TTTACCGTATTTCAAAATGATGGGAAGTGCTCTTCCTTTAATTTCTGCAATAAAAATATGAATAGCTCTATAAGTCTCAAGGAGTATAAAAATTATGCAGATTAAAAAAATTTCTTAGAAACTCGTGTATAATTTGTGGGTACCATTTTAATCAATAATCTTATATAGCCTTATTAATACAAGCAATTTATTTTATATATTTAGCTGCCGCCATTTTCATAGTTGCTGTGCATATTAAATGATATTCACTCAATATTGCACATTTAACAAAACATTAAAAATAACAACAAATTATTCAAGGTGCTCTGCTGCTGCTGTCATGGTGATGCACTTGAGCAAAGGCAGCACCAGCAAAAGCAACAGCCCCAATATCATAAAGCAAAAAAAATTAACAAAACAAAACACAAAGCGACTTACACTTTTTAATTCTGTGAAAAGAAATTATTTTCTAAATAAACTTTTAAAAATCTGCATTAAAATACACTTTTCACTTCACGTCAAACAAACTATTAACGCACTCACACACTTCAGCAAACAAATCAACACTGAGCAATGCCACCTACTTTGCAAATGCACCGACCTATTTCTATCGAATTATCGATAAAAATAAAAGGCTGAGTTACAATACGCTTAAGTTTTACGGCTTGTGGCAGGAAAAATATTGTTTAAAAATAGAAATCATAAGTAATTGTATAAAATTAGAGATCAAAGGCATATTATCGTATTCCCTAGTATCGAAAAAATCAACAACACTACTTAATATCTCAGTAAACAGAACTCGTTCACTAGATTTAGAAGCATATTTTAAAACTTCCATTGTGAACGAATATCCACAGTCGAAAAGTAATAAAATGATAAACGCTTAAATTCACTTTTTAAGTACTTTACCGGTAAAGTTGTAATAAGATTGATTTTTTGTTTGCTATGCATTCAACAAAGCAATAAAGTTTCAAAAAAAATTGAAATTGAAATATATATTCATAATTTTCTTTTATCTATAAATATTTGTTGTTGTTTTTGTTACGATTTGAGTTAGTGCTATTGCGCACTTTTACTCTTTTTATTATTCTTTTTAAAAACTTCAAATTAAAGATTCTTTCAAATCTGACAAAATTGTATTTCACAATAACTTTAGTTTATTAATATAACACTGCGGTAGTGTGGTTATTTCTACAAAAACGAATATAAATAAAATAGCGGTTTTAAACTCGTGTAAGCACCCGTTGCTTTAATCATTTTATTACTTTAAGTTTACTTAATTTATTTGAACATTTATTTTAATAATACGGCTTTACATTGGGTGATTAAAAGTAGATTAAAGCAAAAATCAAGATTAAAGTATAAACCTTGATATTAATCTCACATTTTCCATACAAAAGTTGATCCCCTTATGGTCGAGATTAATTTTAAATCACCTTCAAAATGATGATTATTTCTCTGTGCAACTCTGCAAATGTCTTAATGTTTTAGATTTTTTTACGATCTTAGAAGAAATGTCATAATGTCGTAGATTATTTTACGATTTTAAAGAGAAATGTCAAAATCTATTCAAAATAAACATTGAAATATCCCAATTTATTGCATTTTTAATTTTTGCACGTAAAACTTATTTTAAAAACTATTTTAAAAATTTATACACATGAGTTCCACAGTACATCTATGTACCTTTAATATATATAATTATATAATATATAATATAATTTATTGCTGAATTGTAAGCGTGATAGTTAATTGTTTTTATTTAATCGTTATGTAGAAAACATGCGAAATAATTTTATAGCCATCCACATTTTATTATATAGTTGTAAAAACGGAGCAATTTGCAATTTGTCTCGGTAAACAAGTTTTCCTAAATCATAAACAGATGGACAAAAACGACAACACAATAACGAATAACAGCTGTTAATATTAAAACACGAGCAGGAACAGGTAACAGCGTTGCATGCAATTAATTTTAGATTTCGAAGATCTCTTATTTATTGATATTCTTGATTTGTTGGTAGTTTGATAAAATATGCTGTTTCTATTATTCTTTTTCATATTGTAAAATATTAAAATAATTTTAAAATGTATTTAGGATATCTCTTAATATACATTTGCAAATCTCGTTCTTACGTTACGTAGGATTTTATTCTGTTTCATTTCATATCGACGTCCACTTTTGATTGTTTCGTGAATTATCGATTGCATCGAATTTGACTGAAATGACATTTCTTTGTTTTTTGTTTGTTTAAAGAAGGCTTATGCGCGGTTAGACGCAGAAATTGTAACATAATCCCGTTAAATGTATTTTGTATGTGAGTTTGTTATAAAATAGCAGTTATCAAAATGTCTTCGGTAAGTCTTACAACTAATTGTATTATTAAAAATGTTTTCATGATTTGTTTTTTCTTTGATGCTAAAAGAATAAAGCTGATTTGTCAGCAGTTATTAGGACCCCAGACCGGGCTGAATATCCACGCTTATTTTCACCAAGTACTCCAGCACTCCTAGCAGAAATTCGGCAGAGTAAGTATTGACTGTTTTTTATTTTAGTTTCTAGTATCGAGCGTAATATCTAACATACGTAATTTAAAAGTGAATCGATTCTTAGATGGGGTTCACCAAGTAAATGTCCAACCACTAGCAACTGATAGTCCAACTGGTAAGCCAACAAAAAATAATTTCAAATTAATACATATCGAACTTAAATATTATAATATTCTATGAAATGTATTTATAAAAACCTTCACGCCGAACAATAAAGAGCGAACGATTATCTTTTTAAGATATCCGAAGATCTTTACCTTTCGGTAAAAATTTAATTTGATTAAATAATGTAAATATATAAGTTTTTCTTATTTTGTTACAGTTCAACTCGATGAAGTAATTAGTCTTTCAGATCTATCTATATCCAGTGAGGAAGATGATGACATTGTATTTGTCCCAAATGTCATTGATCTGTGCTCCACAGAGTCTGAAAATAGTGCTGAAAATAGTGAGATTGAACATCAAGTAATGTGTCCCATATGCATCGCACCAATGACAGTTCCTGTGTGTACAAAGTGTGGACATGTTTTTTGCGAAGCTTGTATAAATAGAGCAGTCGATACTTCCAAAAAATGTCCCCTTTGCAAGGCAAACATTTTAAAAAAACAGCTGCGTCGCATTTTTTGGTGAATATTTATAAATAGTATAAGCTTTTTTTACCTTGTTATTTCCATATTCAGCACATCTTTTTCAAATATTATTGTTTTTCCTTTTTTTTTTTTTATTGAAATGAAACTTCAGTCAACATCAGCTTGGTTTGACTGAAATAAATAATTAATAAATATTTTGAAATTGTTCACTAACCAATTTTATGTGTAACTAGTTATATAAGTAAATTATTTTTCTATTTTATAAATATATATACAGTAATTCACTGGTAAATAAACGTGTATTGTAAAAATAATTCTTTATGTAAAATTGTGATCAATTTATCGGTGCTTTTAATTTTATAAATAAATTTTTAATTAAGAAGAATTTTGGCTTTTGTTATAGTTGTTAGTCGTTTTAAATCTGTAAAGCAATATCATGTCCCACCGATACTCCTGTTGGATTCAGTCGTTGACTGAAGACGGTGACTATGCGAAACTTCTAGAGATGCAAGGTATAGTTGATACGATGGCTTTTATGGTGGATATCGCTGCGATCAAAAGTTCAATAGCTGCCAGCCGTAAGCTGTTGAAGTATGTTCAATTTATTTAATTTATGTTGTTTTGCGTAAAGTTTTTTAAATTATTAGAGAGTTGAGAGCGCATGGTAATAAAAGACAAATTTCTAAAGGAAAATTCTAAGGAGCAGCACTGATTATGATTTGAAACAATTAAGACTGAAGCTGAACATATTATAGTGATTTGGTTGTTTAATTACTAAATACTTATTATTATTTAAGTATTTATATGTTAGAAAATTAATTTGTTATATTTCTGCTCCGGTAAGTGAAAATTATAAATGATTTTGTGCTTTAACCAACTCTTTATCAAAATTATATATTGAAGGATTTTATGTGCTATATTAAAGTTTAGAACCGCATTTAGGTTTTTTTCTTTTTTGGTTTTATAAATTTTATTGCATTTTTAGCGACAGTGAGAAACAGCCACTAGTCTACTCTGCCTCTACATTCCTGCCTCTAGGTCTTAAGCATCCAAAATAATGGTTTTATTTTGTGATTCCTTTTGAATTAAAAAAGATTAAATCATATGTAAAAACATATCAGGAATTTCAAAATAGTGTTTAAGTGCTCTCCAACTCCAGCTAGTCTAACAAGGATAAGACCAAATCCAAAGTGCAGCTCTACAGTCTGTAGGTGAATGATGATACAATATTTCATAATAATTGTATATTTTTAAAAAACAACGATTAGTTAGAGACGATGTCCTGGTGAATGAAAAAAAATTGGAGATGAATTAACGTTTGTGTTTCATGTAGTTTCAATTAACATCTGTTAATGCTGATTTTTGAAAATTAAAACGTTTGCTGCGATATTGTGCCTAATCCTTAATCTGATTAATATTAATATGAAGATTTGTATGTATACATATTATTGTATTTATAAACCATCTTATTTTCCAGTAGTTTGAAATCATCTCATTTCTTAGTATTATATACTTATATTTCAGGTTGCAAGGGTAAAAATTTAGGTAAATAGATAACTTTTTTAAATCTAAATTTGTTTAAACCAAGATGGAAGAAAGATGCTAACGGAATGCTTGCAAGCACGGCATACTTCACATATGTTTTTCTTGTTTTCCTTTATAATTTACTTAGCACTTTTTGCTGTGATATCAATCACATTTTTGCCAATACTGTCGCAATAACTGTTAATAGTTCTTTATATTTAGCAATTCTATATCTTTTATTTCTATTTTTTCTAAATAGTTATATTTTTTGAGCAATGGTATATTATTTTATAATTTTTCTTTATTCATATTATATTTGTACTATATATTTCTGCTATGGGAGATCAGAAATAATTAACACTAATCAATTTGGTTTTTAAAGAAAACCACTTATCAAGCGATTGTGATTACTTTATCACTCATACGCCCCCGAAAACGTGACAATTGGTAATTTAGTGTATAAAGTTATCAATTTATTTAATATTTATGCAATATTCGATTGTGTTGTTGAGATAAATCAACAAAATATGAAAATAGATGAAATTTTACTGTTATTTCCAATTTACCCAATATGCTCATAGCTACTCTGCTGCTTTCGTACGTGACAGGTAGTCTCATATCGCACTACCGGGTATGTTGGTTTCACGTTTACACTTCAAAAATCTTTAAAGCCGAAGCAAAAATTGTTTTTTCTCTGAATTACTGGACGGACGACTCTGCTCGGTTTCGTCGTTAAGCGGCTTCCTTAAGAATTTCAGTTACATTTCAACGCTCGCTGGCTACGCAATGTTCAAAAACTTTGTTCGCATCTTAGGCTAAATTCTTTTATCGAAATCGTTTAAAATAACGATTCTTTTTTTCGTGAAATACATCAATAAAGAGTGCATTTATAATTATTTATAAATAATTAACAGAGAATCTAGGAAGTTCAACAACAAAAAACAAAGGATTTTTTGTGTTTTAAATAAAAATATTAAATTATGGAAAAAATGACAACAAATGGAGGAAGTGAGAAGGTAATTTATTGACTACATTAAAATTTAATGAATAAAAAAGTAATCATAATAAGAATGTTAAGAAGAACTGACGGTTGTGCCCTTCGCCATGACTTTTATTGAATCACAGGGATAAATGTTCTCTATAATTGTTTCCGGTTTGTGTAAATTAAATATTCCATAATATAGTACTTTTTATATAGTCGAACTCCTTTGAAACAAATGCATCTATTGTGAAAACACCTGAGTAATAATTTTTTTTAAAACAATTATTTTTTTATTCACAAATATTCACAAATACAGAAATAATATTGAAAAATTTTTCAGTGGTAGGGATGGCAATAAAACTATAAAGAATTCAGACATCTGGGGCAGAAATGGTTTGCCACTATAATTGCAGATCGTGATCAAAATTATATATTCAATGTCAACGACTTTGGTTTATTTCTTAAACCTATATTGTAAATATTTGTCTAAATAAATATGATTTAAATACATTTGCAAAGTGCATATAATAAAATTCTATAAATTTTCTTTAGACCTTTATAAAGACCTTTTTTCAAGATCTTTGACTGGTCTTGACAACTTCATCGTAGACGCGTCTGACTGACTTATGTAAACAAAAATGAATCATGAATATGAATCAGTTTAGTTTTTATGGATCACAAATATCTGAAATTACAAGTAATACCACTAATAGATAAATAGTATTTTATATAGAAGATAAGTAGATTAATTCATGAAGAGATCTTGAATAAATTTATATAGAGAGTAGTAGATAAATTTATAATAGTATATCTATAAATTTACTTAACAGAATTCGGAATAGGACTTTCGATTCCTCAATTGCTACTTGAACTGGGCCTCTATTAAACAATTAAAACGATAGCATTGTGGTGATATTCAGTAGTGAAAATCAGTTATACCTAGTTTAATATTTTTCAATCCTAATAAGGCGAAACCAAAATTGATTATAATACAATTTAAAAATTTTTACCAATTTTAAGATTTATGATTTCAAATTGTCAAGGCCACATTAATTACAACTTTTGATAAGCTTCCTAATTGATTATGTTTATGTGGAGCAATAAAAGAAAAACTATGCTAAAGTATATAGTCGGTCACAACTGACCTTACGATTGGAAGAAAAGATTGTTACTGTATAATATATGAAGAATGACTTTTAGAATTATAACATTTATTTTTAAGTAAAATAAATATAAAAATTCAATATACCTACTTTTGATATTAAAATAACATATGCGCATATACATAACACTCGAATGTATTGAAAAATAGGTTTTAATCTCAATTGATAAAATACCAACTCTATTGTGAATACAATAGAAATAAAATAAATTATATGTAGTAACTTATATCTGAACCAAACGTTTATATGGAGAATTACATTAATTTGAAGTGAACTGGGTGCAAAATTTCAGTTAAATATCTTGCACTGAAATAATTTTATATGTATTATATACATGTTTTATATGATAGCTGTATGATATATATTTTTGATGTTCGCTTATAGAAATTTTTGCATTGCCATTCAAGTTAATAAGTCTCTGATAGCTTCCTTATCTGTCCATCCCCATTATTTTGAATTTATATTTATCAATTTATTTCATATGAGATACAAAACAAATATACATGTCATTGGCTCTGATGTACCGATTGTGTCTTCGACCCATTTTAAAGAATTGATGTCTATAGAATTGAATATGCAAATGATAAAAATGTAGATTTAAAATGAACGCTATTGTACAATTTATTTTGGGGTTATAAACTACAAGTACGATCAATTCTGTTCTATAGATTAGCAACAGCAACAGCAACAGTTAAGATACTGATCGGCTGTTGATTTTACTGATGTAGTAAAAATACAAAATTGGCAATACTGATGTATTTATATCGAATTATCGATAAAAATAAAAGGCTGAGTTACAATACGCTTAAGTTTTACGGCTTGTGGCAGGAAAAATATTGTTTAATAATAGAAATCATAAGTAATTGTATAAAATTAGAGATCAAAGGCATATTATCGTATTTCCTAATTAATATCTCAGTAAACAGAACTCGTTCACTAGATTTATAAGCATATATTAAAACTTCCATCGTGAACGAATATCCACAGTCGAAAAGTAATAAAATGATAAACGTTTAAATGCACCTTTTTAGTACTTTACCGGTAAAGTTGTAATAAGAGTGATTTTTTGTTTGCTATGCATTCAACAAAGCAATAAAGTTTCAAAAAAAATTGAAATTGAAATATATATTCATAATTTTCTTTTATCTATAAATATTTGTTGTTGTTGTTGTTATTATTATTATTTGAGTTAGTGCTAATGTGCACTTTTACTCTTTTTATTATTCTTTTTAAAAACTTCAAATTAAAGATTCTTTCAAATCTGACAAAATTGTATTTCACAATAACTTCAGTTTATTAATATAACACTGCGGTAGTGTGGTTATTTCTACAAAAACGAATATAAATAAAACTCGTGTAAACACCCGTTGCTTTAATCACTTTATCACTTTAAGTTTACTTAATTTATTTGAACATTAAAATTAGATTAAAGCAAAAATCAAGATTAAAGTATAAACCTTGATATTAATCTCAGATTTTCCATACAAAAATTAATCCCCTTATGGTCGAGATTAATTTTAAATCTCCTTCAAAATGATGA